AAAATGTACAGTTCAAGTGGCGTTAATTACATCCACACTGTTGTGCAACCATCACCACCATCCATCTCTAGAACATTTTGTCCTCCTGAAAGAAAACCCCGTATGCATTAAGCAGTCACTCCCACTCCCCATCCACCCACACCCTGGCACCCACCAGTCTGCTTTCTGTCTCTGTGGATTTGCCTATCCCAGACATTTCATATAAATAGAATCATCCAATAGCTGGCCTTTTGCGTCTGGGTCCTTTCTCTCAGCATAATGTTCTCCAGGTTCATCCACACTGTAGCAGGGATTAGCACTTCATTCCTTTTTATGGCTGAGTAATATTCTACCATGTGGCTATCTAGTCTTTTCTTACCACTGGACTTTATAGCTGAGCAACCTTGCTATTCCTCACTCCCAAGATGGGAAGAGCTCCCTGGGGCTTTCCTGACTCAGAAAGCATGAAGACAGTGAAAAGGCCTTAAATTATTCATTAAAAGTTGCTCCCCCTTGAGTGCTTACCACATACCACTTCCTCTGGGCCTGAGCCCATAGCCCCACAGCTAGAACAGTACTGCCTCTGTGACAAGAACATCCACTTCGAGCAAAGCCCAGCTGTGGGACATCCTCAGGGTGAGTATACAAGCACCAACCTGGGTCTCAGGCCCCACATCTTTAAAATGGGTCTAATAGTCATATCTCCGCTGGAAGATTAAATACAATGGTGTCTGTGATCAGCCCAGTGTTGGTTGTGAGGGCAATGCCCAGTGACCATGTGACCATCACCCCATCTGACTGCTATCCTTAAATGGGATGGCATCATCCCTGAAGGCCATCTTGGCTATCTCAGGAATGGGCTTCAGGAGCCAGGCTGGCCTTGGGAGCCCAGGCAAGCAGCCTGGCACGTAGCCCCAGGGCAGCCTGGTTGGCTGATGGGCAGCTTCCAAGTCGTCACCATTTTTCCTTGTCATAATGTCAGCTTCTGTGTTTCTACATGCTGGGTGAGTGTTTGTGCTGCCAACGTGCAAATTAACTCAATTTAAAATCACACCATCTTTTCCGGTTCTAACTGAATGGTTATTGAAGGCGGGTGCCCTGGGGCCACACCCCAGTTCTGTTGTTCTGGTCCTAGCCTGCCGGGCAGCCAGGCCCACTTGAGACACAAAGCCCTCTTCCCTGGCTCTCTGCCCGTCAGGAGAGGCAGCCAGGCTCCCGCGGACCTTCCAGGAAGTAGGCAGGCAGGAGTCAGGATCTAGAACCAAACTTTGGACTTTTCACTTATCTTGGTCTAGACTCTTTTGGTTATAAAAAGAGAAATCCAAATCAAATTAGCTCAATTCAATTCAATTCAACAAATTGCAGCTGTGTCTATGTGTCAGTCACGGGACCAATGCTTGTGGTTCATCAGTGAACAAACCTGAGATTCTGGCCCAGGGAAGCCAGGTGTTAGACATAGGGATATTAAATAAATTATATGATGTGTCGTCAGGTGACATGTGCTATGGAAGGAAGAGAGGGAGCAGAGACAGGGCAGTGACATCGGGGTGCTGGGGGTGGGGACAGGCTGCAGAACTGATTAAGGTGGTCAGGGTGGGCCTGAGATTTGAGCGAAGGCTTGAAGATGAGGTGTCAACCCAGTGGATGGGGGGGGGGGGGAAGAGAATTCCAGGCAGAAGATCAGCCAGAGCAAAGGCCCAGAGAAAGACAGTGTCTGGTGTGTTCAAGGACCAGCCAAGAGGGCAGTGGGACCAGGCTGACTGAGTGAGAGGGGGAGGAGTAAAAGGAATTCAGGGAGAACCAGATGAGACGGGGCCATGGGCCATGGTCCAAACTTCGGCTTTGACTCTGAGTGAGATGGGAGCCACTGCAGTACGGAGCAGTGGAGAGACGTGATTTGACTGATGTTTTGTTTAAGCGAAAAAGGAAACTGCTAGATTCCTAGGTCTCGGTGAGTCAGAGGTTGGGGCCTCACTGTCTCCTCCAGAATACAGCCTCCTTCCATGTGGGGAGGGAGAACGGATGCACATAACTTCAGGCCAACACCATCCCAGTCCTGGAGTCAAGAGGGGTCTCTCTATCCGTGTCAGAATATAAACTCCCAGGGAAGGTCTCTGATTGGCTCTGCTTGGACCAATCACAGTGGCCAGATGCCAGGAACATTGTGATTGGCTGGTCTGGGTCACATGGCTGCCCTATATGAAGAACATGGAGTATTCTGATTGGTTGTCCCATCAGAATTACAGGCAATAGGAGTACAGTTCCTGAAAGGAAGGGTGTGATTTCCCAGAGGAAGGTAGGCAGGAGAGGTGAGCTGGCAGACAGAATAGTCTTTCATTGAATTGCTCATCCTGAGAGGTCACCTCTGCCCCAGGAGGGGCTGCAGAGCCATCGGAAAGTGCTCACTAATCTACTTTGCCTCTTCTGCAGACTGCTTACCACATTTCAAAAACCCTGCCTCTCTGAGGAGGTTGATGCTGCAGTGATGACTACAGTACAAATCTGACTTAAAGGTCACTTCATTTTTTCATCACTGTGTTTCCCCATCTCTGGCTGGAGAAAGCCCGAGCAATACTCACTGAGGTCAGGAACCAGCGGCCGAGGTGCGGCCACTTCCTCCTCTCTCGGAGCCTCCTCTGAAGTCACAGACAATTAAACAGCATGAAGAGCTCGTCTCTGATCCTCAGGAAATGCCTAGGTGGGTGAGCTGGAAGAAGCCACATGGGGCTTTAGACATAACACCTCCTCTTTGCTCAGAGTTGTGATGGGAAAACTATTGTGGGTTTTTTTTTTTTAAATACAGTAAAGTAACAAAATTCGATGATACGTCTCAGTGAATTTTTACATATATATCCACCTGTGTAACCACCACCAGGTCAAGATATAAAACATTTCTAACACCCAGGAGGCCTCCTCCTGGGATGGGCTCGGGCCGTCTCTTGCCCTCATTTTTGTACAGGCACCGCTATGTTTCTCATGGGCCTCGGGGCCAGGCTCGCGGTAAGCACGCCCCCACCCCCCGCCTTGTGCTCTTGCATACTGTCTCCAGTCCCCCACTCGCTGCAAGGCAGGGGCCGCCAATCCCATTTTACAGGCAGAGACTGTAACTGGAGTTCAGAGAAAAGTACCACCACCCTCATCACCACCACCAAAAACCAAACAGCAGCTTCCACCGATTGAGGGAGGCTGGAGGGAAATTCTTGGCGGAAGATCAGAGAAGGGTTTGTCCTCCTTGCCAAGCCGTGGCTTAACTGGCTCATTTCAGCAGACGATGACGAAAAGATTCCTACCATGAAGTCACACACATCAGTCAGAAGGGCCTCCCTACAAAGCCCCTCTTATTTTTGGCTCCAGGTAATAGTAGGTAATAATCTGCTCTTTGCCCACGCTGGTTTTCCCAGACTCCACTGGAGAGGTTTCTATCTTGTTTCGGAAGACTGAGCAGGACAGAGCACGTCCCGTCCAAGGAGGGATGGACACTGAGGGTCCTCTCTCGGGATGTCTCTGGTCCTCGATTCTGGGGAGGGTGCAGACACCAGACATCAACCCAGTAACTGAGCCTTTTGACAAAGACAGCCACCTCCAGCGGTTCTCCCGAGCTGGAGGCGAGAGAGGCAGACATCCTCTGCTCTCAGACAGAAACATCAGCAAGGAGCAAGCCAGCACAGTTCCTCCCAACATACAGTCAGAGATAAAACATGTTTCAGGACATCCAATGCTTTCTACGTCCTGTCCCTGATCACGACCTATCATTTATCTCGTGAGGCTGGGACAACCCTGTCTGGCAGCGCCATGCTCCAGAAACAGGGGGTTGGTTTACAAACACATCTTTTGTCCAGACAAAGGAAGGTTTGGCACATATCAAATGGACCAGAATGTACGGCCCCCACCTCCTCACTCCCCAACCCACTGCCCCCAGCAGCAAGGGCGGGGGTTTCCAAGAGCCTCCCTCCTGGCAACCCTGCTGGATAGGGATCATTATCCCCATTCTGAGGAGGAAGAAACTGAGGCTCAGAGGCTCATACTGATGGACGGCCTACTACGTGCCAGGTGGCTAACAATTAGACACGACTCCCCTTAGTTCCCACAACTGCTGTGGGGAGGGACTTACTGTCAGTTGCATTTTACAGTTGAGGAAACAGGTTCAGAGAGAGAAACAGCTTGCCTAAGGCCACACAGCTGACGCTAGTGCTAGTGATGCTAAGAGAGACAGTGGGATAGTGTGCTAGTTTCCTGCAGCTGCTGTAACAAGTTGCCTCAAATTTAGTGGCTTAAAACAACACAAGTTTATTCTCTTACAGTCCTGGAGGCCAGAAGTCCTAAACCAACTTCAGAGGGCTAAAGTCAAGGCCTTTGGGAAGCTCTCAGGGAGAATTTGTTTCCAGGTTTTTTCCAGTTTCTAGAGGCACCTGCATTCTAGAGGGGCTCAGGGCCCCTCCCTTCATCTTCAAAGCCAGCCCTATAGCATCTTCTCTCCCCTCTGACCTCTGCTCCTGTCTTCACATCTTTTCTCCCTCTAATTCTACTGCCTCTCTCTTGGGAGGACCTTTGTGATGGAACTGGATTTACTCAGATAATCTAGAGTAATCTCCCATCTCCACATCCTTACTTATTCCCATCTGCAAAGTCCCTTTTGCCACATATGGTAACGTATGCGCAGGCTCGGGGGATGGGGACGTGGACATGTTTGGTGGGACATTATTCAGCCTACCACAAATAGCAAAGTCACATCAGTGTAGATGTGGCTGTGGTTCAAGTGTCTAGGCTGAGTGTGGGGACAGAGGCTCAGTTCTCACACCCACCACCTGCCTTGACCTTCAGAGAGGTGGGCACAGATCAGCGACATCAGCCACCTGTGGAGGTCCTGTCAGGTGCCCGGCTTTGTCGCACCTCCTAGAAGGCAGGCAGTGCGGAACACCCGCATTTTATGGAGAAGGAAACTGATTAGAAAGTGTTTAAGGATTTGGCAGGGAGGCGTGGTCCCCGGCCAGGGGCTGGACCGGGAACACCTCCCGCTCCTCCCGCTCTCTGCTTCTCCCAGCATCTGGAGGCAGAAGTTGCTTCTGGCGCTGGGAGTAGGCGGGTGCTGAGTGTAGACAGGCCTCCGTCGCGGCTCTCCCCGCCTCCTCCCTGCTCTCAGAGACAGAGCCACACGCCTGCTCTCGCCGTCTTCCCCAGAGCTCCCGCCGGCAAGATGCCACCCTCCAGCCTGGCGATGGTGAGCGGCCAGGCGCTCCCGGCCTTCCTGCTCTGCAGCACGCTGCTGGTCATCAAGATGTACGCAGTGGCCGTCATCACCGGCCAAGTACGGCTGCGGAAGAAGGTACGTGCGGCCCTCGGGTACCCCAGCCGGTGCGCGCGCGTCTCTCGCCGCCCTGCGGGAAGGTCCAGGACAGGAGAAACTTGGCCACGGTGTTTTCAGGACCAGAGTGTTGAGCAGGCTCTGGACCTAGGTGCCTCTTCCAGCCCTTGGGATGGTGCCCCTCTGGCCCTCGGTTCCAGCCGGACCGCACCTTCTTGTCCTCTGTTTTAAGAGCATTTACTCCCTGGCTGTGCCACCAGGTGAGTTCTCCAGGAGTGCCGCTGAGCTCCGCTGCCTCTCGGAGGGAAGCAGGTCCCGGAGGGTGGAGCGAGGAGCAGAAAGCCTCGGTCTGACCTGGCGGCTTCCCGGCACAGGAGATCTGATATTTGGGCGGAGTGGGAACCGGTGAAACAGGAGCCCGAGAAACCTTTAAGTGGAAATTCCCAACGTGCCGGGGAGGTCGCTTCCAAACTCGTGGCAGCCTCTAGGGGCCAGGTCTCAGCCAGGATCCACTGGAGTTTTCAGGGAGGAATTTCCCCCACCAGGCCGAGTCCGGGAGCCAAAACAACATTAAAGAGGCCCAGATCTGAGCTGGGGCGGGCGGGTGGGCGGGCCGACTGTTCTGGGACGACTCTGCTGGCGCTGGACAGCCAGAGCCCCAGAAGTTGCCGGACAAGCGCGCCAGCCCTCCCGTCAGGCGCGGAGGCCCGAGGGTACCTACTGATCATCCTCCCAGGTGTTTCAGAGAGGAACTGTTTCCAGAATCTGTGCCCCGTTTTCCCCCTTTATCCAGTGCAAAGGCATGGCGAGGCTGGCTCTGGCATGGCGTGGGGGGTGGACACTGGGGAGCGGGATCTCGCCCAAGAGTCGGGCTCAGCCCCTGGCACAGGTACAGGCAGGACTGAAGGCAGGCCAGCCCCCTAGGGGAGCTGACATTGAAGCAGAGGCACACTGATCACGCCTGACTTGTCCCTGCCTCTGCCCATCCTGGGATGCGGGATACAGGCGTGGAGCAGGGACAGCTACCTCCGCCCATTGGGTCCTTCCAGGGAGCTGAGCATTTAATCCCCGCCACGGCCCTGGGGAAAGAGGGGAGGAGCTGTACTCAGCTTATTTTGGGCTCAGAGAGGAGACATAACTTGTGAAGGCCAGAGTCTGGTTTGAACCCAGCTGTCCAGCTCCAGAACCCACACCTTGCTGGTGGGGTTCTTACCAGAGGGCACAGCCCAGAGCTTTCCTTTCAGTGTAAATCCGGGGGAGGGGAGGAGACAAGCCTGTTGGAGTGCCTTTGTGCCTGGTCAGTGGGGAGTGGCGGAAGGAAACCTCCCCTCGGGCTGGCCCTGAGGTGCCCCTCTCCAGTGTCCCTCTCATTTCTGCTTGGCATTCAGTGTCAGCCAGGAAGGAGCAGGAGAGCTACACTGTGGGGAGGTGATGGATGCGGGCTCTGGCTGCTCCACTCACCAGCCTTGGGACCATGGGGGAGTCTGGGAGCTCAGTTTCCTCATCTGTAAACTGCCGATGGTCATAGTGGTGCCAGGAGAATTCACGCCTGGCACAGAGCAAGTGCTCCATCAGTGTTAGTTCTCACTACTTATTAACCACTGGAATTAACACGAACGGCCCCAGATCCCTCCGTGGGATGCGTCGGGAGGCCTGCCCCCTCGCCCCCACTAGAGGTCGTCCCCCAGCTTCTATCACTCTGGCCTCTTCTGGTCTGCACTGCGGCTGGCGCCTGGCCAGGGCCACCTGTCCTCCAGTTCTGTTTTCAGGAATGAGCAACCTCGTGGACCTCGGACTCCAAAGGCTGCTGCCTGCCAGATGCTAAGGCCCCTTGAAGGCAGTCATGGGTCCACAGACTGTGCACAGCCATCAGAGTTGGTGATTCCGTGACTTAAGGGCTAGCGGAGAGGAATTCTGGGTGTGGGGGCTCCAATTCTGACCGTGACAGGCATCGGTCACGTGATCTGTTCACCTCTGGGCTGGGGCAGGGCCAGGCCCACCAGACAGGACAAACCAGGGCTTGGGGACAGATGTCACAAGGGCCCATGAGTCAGAAGCAGCAAGATTTGCCGTTGGGTGAGCACTTTAGAAAACCTGCCGCTGAGGTTCAGGTTGCTGAAAGGTTGGTGGGGCCAGCTTGCCTGGATGCCAGCAGGGAAGGGTGGAGCATGGGTGACGGGCGTGGGCCTTTAATGACTGGAGTGTGACCTTAAGTCTCTGCCTTCCGCCGACAGTTCATTAAGCCCCTTCTTGTGCCGGCCACGTTGTGCTGGAGGCTTCTCCAGTTCTCTCCTTCCCTCTCCTCAGGGCAGATGAGCTCCATTTGATCCAGAGTTCACAGATGAGGAATCCGAGGCTCAGAGAAGTTGAGAAACCCGCAGTTAGTCAGTGGGAGCTGGAGTTCCCACTCTCATTGCTCTTGGTTCAAAGTCTAAATTCTTAGGGTGCCTCTAGGACCCCTGCCAACCCCTGCAACTTTGTCTTGGGCCTCTGTCCCTTGCTCTCTGTGCTTCAGTGTCAGCTAGTAAGGAGCGGGGGGAGCTACACCCTAGGGAGGTGATGGAAGCGGGCTCTGGCTCTGGTTTTCTGTTTTTCAAACATGCCCATGTTCTTCTGACTCCGGGGCCTTTGCACATACTCTCCCTTATGTCTTGAATGCTGTTGCTCCAGTCCTCCCTTCATCTGGTTAATGTTGATGCATCTTTAAGCCTCAGCTTTAATGTCACTGCCCTGGAGAAGCCTTCTCTGACCCCAAGACTCGGTCAGGTCTCCTGTGGGCATTCTCAAGGCCAACCCTGTTTTCCATTTCTTTCTTTCTTTCTTTCTTTCTTTCTTTCTTTTTTGGTGAGGAAGATCGGCCCTAACCTAACATCTGTTGCCAATCTTCCTCTTTTTTGCTGAGGAAGATTGGCCCTGGGCTAACATCCGTGCCCATCCTCCTCTCCTTTATATGTGGGACGCCACCACAGCACGGCTTCATAAGTGGTGCATATGTCCGCACCCGGGATCCGAACCAGCGAACCCTGGGCGGCCAAAGCAGAGCTTGCGAACTTAACCACTACACCCCTGGGCCGGCCCCTGTCTTCCCTTTCTTCAGATTCACCACCCGGTCTTCCCTGGTTCATAGGCAATTCCCCCAGCAGACGGTAAGCTTCACAGGAGCAGGCACAGGAGGGCCTGTCTTAGTCCACTCGGGCTGCTGTAACAAAATACCATAGACCCGGCAGCTTATAAACAACTGAAATTTATTTCTCACAGTTCTGGAGGCCAGAAGTCCGAGATCAAGGTGCCGGCAGATTCAGTGTCTGGTGAGGGCCCGCTTCCCGGTTCACAGATGGCTGTCTTCTTGCTGCGTCCTCACATGGCGGAGAGGGCAACAGAGCTCTCTGGGGCATCTTTTATAAGGGCACTGACCCCGTTCATGAGGACTCCACCCTCGTGATCTAATCACATCCCAAAGGCACCACCTCCAAATACCATCACATTGGGGTTTAGGTTTCAGTATATGAATTTGCGGGGGACACAGACGTTCAGTCCAGAGCGGCTTTGTTCGCAGGGAGACCCCAGTACTTGGCACATAGTAGGAGCTCGTGGATGCTGGTGGATGGATGTGTGTGTGACCGCACCGCTGCTGAGCCAGGCAGCCGGGCCGTCTGTCTCACGAACAGTAATTCTCAGCTGATGTATTCCAGGCTTTTGCCAACCCCGAGGATGCCCTGCGACACGGAGGCCTCCAGTATTGCCGGAACGACCAGGACGTGGAACGCTGCCTCAGGCAAGTACAGTTGGGCCTCGGCCTGGCCGCAGCCTGGCCTTTCAATCCCTTGTCTGGACACCCAGGGCTTGGGGGACACCAGGGGGACCAAGGTCTTCTGCCTCCCTGACCCCCTCAGACTGTTCTTTTTTTTTTTTGTGTGTGAGGAATATTGGTCCTGAGCTAACATCTGCCAATCCTCCTCTTCTTTTGCTGAGGAAGACTGGCCCTGGGCTAACATCCGTGACCGTCTTCCTCTACTTTATATGGGACTCCACCACAGCATGGCTTGCCAAGCGGTGCCTCGGTGCGCGCCCGGGATCCGAACCGGCGAACCCCGGGCCGCTGCAGTGGAGCACGCACACTTAACTGGTAGCGCCGCTGGGCCGGCCCCAATAGGTGAAAATTTATGTCACATTCTGGTTTGACTTTGCATTTCTTTTATTCTGAGTGAAGTTGAATATCATCTCATACGCTTAGCATCCCTCAGCCAATCAAAAACAATTTTTCTTACTACAAAACTCAGAACTACTGCTTGCAGACAATTTTGGTAACGTTGAAAATACACAGAGGAGAAAAAGGAAAACCACTCACCTTTCTAATCACTGTTAACATTATCATCTGTCTCCTCTTTCTCTTCTGTGTCTAAATATTTTTCATAAAATCAGGCAGGCATTATCTACCCAATTTAGGGTTCTGATTTTTTTCGGTTAACATTATTTCATGAGCACTTTCCATGTCAGTAAATATTACTCAAAAACTGACTCAAAAAATGGCTGCATAAAATTCCATCAGATTGTGTTAACTTTATGTGACCAGTCTCATGTTGGACTTTTTGGTGGTTTCCTCCCTATTGTACATCATCGAGCTGGAGGGTGAGGAGGTGGCACTCCGGGGGCTGGGGTTGTCAGCGGAGTTCTGTGGAGAGGTGGGAGGATGGGTCGCTGGATGGGAGAGAGACAGGAGACGAAGCCTCGGGGGGTTCTCAACACCTTCCCCTGCATCACAGGTGGAAATGTGTGGGGTGCTGCAGCAGAAATGATAGAGGTACTTTTATTAAAAGACAGTCAGTGGTTTATTTTTTTATGGTTTTCTCGGCCATTGAAAATAATATACTTACTTGTGGTTTTTAAAAATTACAGAAATGTGTAGCGTAGGAAGCGAAATTCTTTGCTCTTTCACCCTTTCTACTGTAACTATAGTGATAGTCCTTGGTGTGAGGTCCATCACCCATCCTTCCATTCTTTCAACATTTAATGAGCACCTACTGTGTGCAGGGCACTGTGCTAAGCACTGGTTGTACTTTAGTGAACAAAAGCCTGACCCACACGTGAATCCATGCTGGTGACCCTCACCCCACCCTCAGTACTGGTTGGCTTCCTCTCCTGCGCGGTGGAGAAGGACAAGATGAGTAGTTGAGGCAGCCGGCTGCCATGACTGCGGGTAGCCCGAGCCGGCTCACAGCTGAATCACCAAGAGATGCGTCTGCCATCTCCTGGGGTTCAGGGGTTCTAGGTACCAAAGCTTACTCGTGGCACAGGAGTGCTTACATGGGCTTATGAACACCTGTTTTATTTTCACTGGCTGTAACCCTGCCACGGAGAGACAACCGACCCATGTGGTGCCGGGACATTTCCACTCGTCCAATGCAATGTTTTCCTCTGATCAAAATGACCCACCGTAAAGTACCGATGCTCAGGTGGTTGAAATTCAATTCAGTGCTTTTCGAGCACTTCTTATCTACTAAGGTGTTACAGCCATTCAGCAAGTATTTATTGGGGGCCTACCATGTCCTGGTATTTATTGGGGACTTACCTTGCCAGACTGGGGGATCCCTGGTCCCCTAGGGCTCCTCCTCTTCCTCCTGAACCTCACCTAATGTCACGGAACCTTGAGGGCGCAGAGCTCAGAGAACCACACATCCTGGCGTCCAGGACTGGAGAACTGGCTGGAACCTGAGTGGGAGATGCCCTGAGGGAAAAGTGGGTTAAATATTAGACCAGTTTATGGTGCCATGGGGGTCACCTTCTGCACACACAGGAAAGCACTTAGGCCTCGGTTCCTGGAGGATGAATCTGCCTTGCAGGTTAGCATGGGCTGCAGCCACAACACGAGCCCGGCTCTGGGGGGTTGGGAAGCAGCTTTCAAGGACACAACAAAGCCCAGCCACCTTCTTTCCACGACGCCTACCCAGTCTCCCGGCGCTGTGTGTTTTGGCCAAATTTCGACTCTATGTGTATGAAACTGCAGTGAGGGGGGGTATCTGAGTGGTCCCAAGGCAGGAAGCAGACCCCTGACCCAGGCTTTGGAGTATTCTGACTGTGTGGAGTATGTGGACTTAATCTGCGTGCACTGGTTTGTCAGGAGATTGGGTCCTGAAATCTCAGCCCTAGAAGTCCCTTAAAATCTTATCCAACACATCCGTTCTATGGATGGTGAGCCGTGGCCCAGAGAGGGAGGAGCCTTGCCCGAGGCCAAGGAGCTCATTAGCATCCTGGTGGAGAGGCAGCTCCTGGCCCAGTGCGCCTTTTCCAGCGCACCATAAACTGTGTTTTATTAATTTGGCCAAGGCGTCTCTGGGTGGTCTGGAGTCCGGCAGAACCGAGAGGGTGACGTTAGCTTTAACAGTTGTGTCCAGGACAGGGCTGGTGATGGTGACGATGACGAAGAAGATGGCAGCTAACTTAGGACGCACCTACTTGGCGACAGGCAGCGTTCTTGGCACTTTATAGATTCTAACTCGCTTAGCCCTCCCAACAACCTTCTGAGGAGGGTACTGTTACCTGTAGAGGAAGAAACAGGCTTGCCCAGGCCACGTGGCTTGTGATGGCTCAGCTGCCATTGAGCCCAGGCCGTCTGATGCGTGGGCTCTGCTCCTGAATACTCCCTGCTCTGCATGAACTCGATTTTACTCCGGTTTCTACCTGCCTTTACAACGAAGCCGACTTGACGTTGTATCAAACCTGAATTCAAGGAAATCACCAATGGGGATGGAGAGCAGGGCTGAGGGAAGGGGAGAGAGCTGGCGTGGCCACCAGCAGCTGTGCCTGCCCAGGATGCCTGGGGGTCACTGCAGGTCTCCCTCTCCCCACCCTGTCACTTGATACCCTGGGCGGCTGTTACCTTGTCTGCTGAGGGGGAGGGGCAGCCTGGGGCCGCGGGCGGCTCTGCAAGTCCAGTCGACTCTGCAAGTCCAGTCGACTCTGCAAGTCCAGTCGACTCTGCAAGTCCAGTCGACTCTGCAAGTCCAGTCTAGCGGGAATTTGCTTTGGGTGACTTTTGCCTTAAAAAAGTGGTTATTATTGGAACGCCACGTTTTGCCCAAGCGCCTCTCCCATACATGACTCCTTCCACGTGTCTCGGTTCAGATCCTGGGGTGGGGAGGAGGGGAGGGGTTTTGTTGCATCATCCCTGGTTTCCCCACCTCTCCCTGTCCCTGGCACCACCTGTGGCTTCGTGGGGGCCCCCACTGTGGTCTGAGACATACCAGAGGGAGGAGGGTGGCTGGGCCAGCCCAGGGGCTGAACGTCAGAGCTTTAGGACTTTCTCAGCTCCCAGCCACCTCTCCCCGGTCACTGGTGGGCTCTGAGTCCTCTAGTCCCAATTGATGGGGCTCAGCACCCAATGCGTGGTTTTCTGCGAGGGCTGCCCCTCCCCACCCCTGGGTCCTGCCCCGGAGAGCAGGCCCGCTGCCCGCCGGCCGTGAACCTCCCATCCTATCCCTCCTCTCCGCCCTGTTTCCCCGGCATCTTTCTCTCACCTGCTCTTTGGGGTTTGGCCAACGATTCTCTCAGCAGCTTTCTAAAAACGGACTCACTCTTAAAATATAAATACAGGGGCCGGCCCGGTGGCGCAAGCGGTTGAGTGCGCGCGCTCCGCTGTGGCGGCCCGGGGTTCGCTGGTTCGGATCCCGGGCGCGCACCGACGCACTGCTTGGTAAGCCATGCTGTGGCGGCGTCCCATATAAAGTGGAGGAAGATGGGCACAGATGTTAGCCCAGGGCCGTCTTCCTCGGCAAAAAAAAAAAAAAAAAAGAGGAGGATTGGCGGATGTTAGCTCAGGGCTGATCTCCTCACAAAAAAAAAATATATATATATATAAATACATACTTTAAGGAAAAGTATCTGAATGAAAGGGTTTCCGAGGCTAGTTATGCTTTTCTGATAGTTTCAGATAAATACAAAAGTATGACAAAAATACTCATCCAGGTGGCACCATCTCGTTGGGCACCTGTGGGAGGCAGACCCTGTTCTGGGACACACTGACTTCATCTAAAATGGGTTTTCCAAGGGTGTCCCTCTAACAGGGAATGGGGGACGTTGGTATACTCAGCTCCATTTCCGCAGGGCAGAGTGGTTTGAGAGGAACACTTGCTGCCTCCTCCCTCATAGCTCACAAGTCAGGGGAGGGACTTGCTCGACTGGGGAACTGGAGGGCACCGGCCCTCAGTTTCTGCCTCTCCTTCCCTGCAGCCAAGATCTGGCCAGGGCCCGCCTCTCTTTGGCATGGGAGCCAGCAGCCTTTGCCCAGCTGGGTGAGGCCCACCCTCCCGCAGACTTGCTTTCCCTGTGGCTGGGTCCCCAGGTGGAGATTTGGGAGAAAAGGAGAAGGGAGGCTCATGTTGGCTCCAGGACATGGGGACAAAGACACCAACTGCCATGTCCTGAGTTTGACCTGAGACAGATCCAGGCCCTGCTGGGTTTACGGGAGCTTTTGTACACTCAGATTGAATTCCAGACTCCTTATCCTGCTTCACAAGGCCCGTCTCCCGCTCTTATCCTGCCTTACTCCCTCTGTGCACCACACTTCAGCCACATGGGTCACTTTTCTGTGCCTTGAAAACATTATGCTCATTCCCACCTCAGTGCCTTTGCATGTGCCCATCCCTTTCCCTGGAAAGTTCTTCCCCTGCACAGATAGCCCCTTATCATTCAGGCTGCAGTGCCTGAGTGCAGTCTCCTTCCCTGACCACACCCACCCCAGTCATGCTGCAGAGACCCCTACAACACTGGGCGGCCAAGTGCTGCAGGCCTCTTCCCTGCCCTGTCCAGCCCAATTCCTTTCCATCAGGCCACATACCATGGCCTTTGCCTAAGGCTCTCCTTGCAAGTGGGAGGGAAGAGGAGGACTCTACAGCAAGTCACCATACCGGGGCTGCTGGCTGGGCCTGGCCCATTGGCGCAGCATTGGGGAAATGCATTCCAGCCGGAAGGCCTGGAGAGGGGGCTTCGGTTCCAGCAGTGTCCCAGTGCCTCACACACATGGCCTGTCCTTGGGGGAGGTCATGGGCCGGGCACTGGATTCCTATTTATTTGAGCTTCCAACATGCCATCTAGGGCTCAGCCACTTGCTCAGTCTCTAATTTATGGGACTCGACCTCCCCACCCTCTGTAAGGGAAGCTGCCCATTAGCAGGAGTCATGGAAAATGTGAACCGACTCTTAGAGGAGAAGTGGGTGAGTTTTCTTTCTTGGTCATTTATTTATGGCAGAGTTATACACAGCCCCCCACCTCCCATACACACCACACACTCACACACTTGATGATTTTAAACAAAAAAGAAACTGGATAGCAGGGATGAAACGGAGAGCTTTGCCAGGGTCCGGCAACTGGTTGGCTCCAGTGGGTGGACGCTGTTCTTGTTATTATTTTCCCTGAAAGAGGGAGGGGGGTTTGCTTATATTTAGGGGCAGAATAAGACAGAGCCAGGCGTGGATTTCAGATGCATGCTCCCAGGTTCTAGGCCATCCCCCTCAGAAGGGCCCAGGAACCTGCATTTGGAAGGAGGGCACCTCACAGCTGCCTCAGTGGTAAAGACCATGGGCTCGAGTCAGACCCAGGCTCCTTCCCAGCTCTCACTCACCCCGCTGAGCCCCACTTTTCCTGCCTGGCATCCAAGGCCAGATGGGAAGATGGCGAGAGTGTGGCAAGGGCCGTGTCCCGGCCAGCCCTAGGGCTTGGTAAGAAAACCCCAGTCAGCAGCCTATCATGGCTCCTAGCCCACTAATAGGAGCTTGGAGTTGCTGTCCCTCCCACCTTTGGGGTCTCTCCCTGTCCTGGCCGTGAAGGGACTCGACTCTGGCGCCCCTGAGATGATCCCCAGCTGTGTGGGGCCTCTCAGGGCAGAGGGCCCCAGCTTCTGTGATATTCTCAAAGCTGACACCTGGCTGACCGCACCCCCTTGCCTTCCCAGAGCCCACCGGAACGACATGGAGACCATCTACCCCTTCCTGTTCCTGGGCCTCGTCTACTCCTTCCTGGGGCCCGACCCTTTCGTGGCCCGGATGCACTTCCTCATCTTCTTCCTGGGCCGCATGGTGCACACCGTGGCCTACCTGGGGAAGCTGCGGGCGCCCACCCGCTCCCTGGCCTACACCCTGGCCCAGCTCCCCTGCGCCTCCATGGCCCTACAGATCGTCTGGGAAGCAGCCCGCCACCTGTGACCACCAGCTGACACCTCCTTGCCGCCAGACCGCTGACCATGAGCCTCCCGGGGGACTGGGCATTCTTTCGAGATTGTGATAGGCCCTGGGGCCTGGCTTCCTGGCAAACTGCTAAGCGTGGGGCCCTGGGCCCCGTGCGCCTGTGCGTGTGTGCACACGTGTGCATGTGTGCCCCTTGGATTCCTGGGTGAAGTGGCCGATTGGAACCGTTTAGAGCCAGTTATCAAGACTGATAGAAAATACTTCCACTCAAATGACATTTGCATTTAGACATTTGCACATAGAGCATTAAAATCATCACTCCTTCGTCCCTAAGAACCGGAAGAGGGAGGAAAGACAGTTCAGGTTCCTAAACCCAATGACCGTCCAGGTCCAGGGCTGTAATAAATGCAGACTTCTCAGACCCACCCCAGAGATTCTGGTTCGGCCGGTTTAGAGGGGGCCTGGGCGTCTGCCTTTTTTAAAAGCTCCCGATGAGTCCCAGCAATGGCCGGGCCTGGGAGCCACTGCCAGCCCCCTCTGGAGGCAGGCCCAGGATGCACAGGGTGTGACTGCGATTTCTTTTATGGTGGGAGTTTCGTGAGGGGTGGGGGTTACACTCTGTGCCCTGTGCTCCATGGACTCTTCTCTCCTCCGCGCAGGTGCGGGTGGGAGGGGCCCACAGTGAAGTCGGCCTTCTCTTCCCCGAGGTTTTAGTCGCTCCTGAGGGCTGTAAATCAAGGACAATGGGCCTTGAAGGACCAACTACTAAAAGGAACTTATGGCTCCTTCAGTATCTGCAGGGTTTGAAAACCACGAGTGTGCCCCCCCCACCGTGGGGAATCCGTGTGTGTGTGTGCGTGTGCGTGTGGAATCCGTGTGTCTCTACACTCCTGTTCTAAGACGTGTGGCTTTAATCATTAAATGGAGAGTCTGACCAGCTCAGCCCGCCGCCCCGCGGCCTCCTGGCTGCTGGTTCCTGGTGTCCACCGTCGCCCACGCCGGCCTGAGCGGCAGCTCACTGGACATTTTTGCCAGTGCGTCACTGGCCACAGTCTCTGGCAAACACACGAACACACCCTGACGGGGCAGTAAGGCCACAGCAAGCAGGCTGCTCTCACACCCTCCTGTCTCCTGCTGTGGGCCAGTAAGAGGGTCTCTCGGCTCTATTGTTGCAGCCCAGGACACTGGGGCTTCAGGGGGTGGACACCCTGAAGTGCAGGGTCAGCTCTGGCCCGGCCTCTTAGCGTCCAAGGCCCTGTTCTAACCACTGTGCTCCACTGCCTCACTTTCCCTAAACGCCATCCCAGCACTGCCCCCTTATCTCCAGGATCTGGGGAAGCCCCCCTCATCCCTGGGCATGTCCTGCTCCCACCACCCTGCAGCCCCTGAACTTCTGTCCCCACAGACTGAGGGGCCTGCAGAGTGGGGGCCTCCCTGGAGGCTCAGGGGACCCCAGGCCTCACTGGAAATCTGGGTCCGCCCCTTCCCTGCCAGGCTCAGAGCTGAGAGTGGATAACACTGCCCCCTGGTGGTGAGATGAGCCTCCGTTCTTGGGCCACAGCTGCTCCGCTGGAAACAGGAGGGGCGCCATCCTGTCTGGAGTGCCTGGCGCTTGCTGAGCATGGGCTGGGCGCGGTGCTTACAGTTTTTTTCACTGGATCCTTAAACTGATCCCAGGAGGGAGGCACTTCTGCTTTTTGATGAGGGAAGTAAGGCTCAGAGAGGAGAGGTGACCTGCCCAGCGTCCCTGAGCTGAGCTGTGCCAAGGCCAGAGGAGCAGACCCAGTGTGTGTTTTATATTTTAATATTTTCCACCCTGGGGACAGGGGCTGAGAGGGCAAAGTGCCCAGCTGGGCTCCGGGTGAGGAGGGCATCCAACTCCCAGGGGGCCACGTAAACCTGGGTCCTGGATGAAGGGGCAGCCCCTCTGAGCCACAGAGACGCTGAGCCCTTCATGCACCGCGCCATCGTTCATTCCCCGGGGCGGTACCTCTGCGGACACTGTGCCGGGCGCAGGGGCAGCAACAGAGTTGGGGGGACAGCAGGACAACAGACAATGACAACACCAAGTGCTCAGCATCCTAATGGAGGAGATGGGTGGTGGGAGCACAGAGAGGGCCCTCCAGCCCTGCTGGGGAGGGGTTTCCTGGGGGAGACGGAAACTCACCTGAGATGGGGCTAAGTCAGACTGGTTGCGGGGGATGTCCAAGCTGAGGAAGTTGAGGTGCAAAGACAGCAGAGCTCAGCCCTCTGGGGTCTTATGGCTGGGAAGTGGGGAAAGGGGGGGTGTCTAGGGAGCGTGGGGGGTATGGCAGGGAATGAGGCTAAGGGGTCAGCAGGGGGCTCATTCGAGGCTTTGGGCCTTGTCGGGGAGTTTGGAGGCAGTGTGGATTGGTGTAGGTGGGTCTCTGTCCTAAGACAGTCTCAGAAGGCCACGCGGAGAGCAGAAAGGCCGGTTGACAACCAGGCAGTGGCCCTTACTTCCCAGGTGGCATGGACAGTGCCCTGACTGCCCGCCCAGGAGCTGGAGGGCCCAGGAGAGGCAGGTGCGGCCGAGGGCAGGGAGCACCCAGCCCACGGTGCTGTCCAGGGGCAGCTGGCAGGAGCTGAGTGATTTCCCCAGGGGAGAAGGAGGCCCGGGGGCCCGTTCTGCTCCCACCCCCAGGGCAGACTCAACCCTCCAGGGTGGGGAAGGGCTGAGAGCCGCCTCCTGGCAGCTGCCCCTGTGGCTGGACACCAGGCCCAGGAGAACCACTGCCCATGTTCCCGGCAGCAGCAGAGTGAGCGCAGCGGGTGAGTCGACATGGGTAGGGGACCCTGAGACCATGTCTGCTGACCCGGCCACAGGTGTGTGCACTCAGCCACCCCCTGAGGCCATCTCGGGCACTGAGGCAAGTTGACCTTAGGCACTGGAGAGTTCTGACCTCATCCCTTCCTCTGCAGCGCACGTTCCTCCTACTCCACTCAGACTTGGGCCAACCCTCTGGGGCTGCCTCCTCCCTCCTAACCCGGGGCTGGGGGTGGTGTGAAGTGTGGGCAGTGCCGGGAGGGCGGTGCTGAGTGGCAGCCTGGGGACCCTGGAGCTACAGGCAAAGACTTTGGGGCTGAGCCCTGGCTTGGGAAGCTGGAGCTGCCTCTGGTTGGAGCCTGGTGTCTGGGAGCATCTTCTCCTGGGCTCCAAGTGAGCAGGAAAGGCCAGAGCCGGGCTGGGGTGTCATGCAGACCCCAGGGTCAGGGCGCTAGACTACGAGTTGGGGACCTCTCAAAGTGTCGCCAATTTGGTCTAATGCTATAGAACCTTTCCCCCCACTCCAATACACACACCTTCTAAGGAGGAAGCCCAAGACAAGCGATGGCCAGTGTGCCCGTCCACCTGGGCTCCCCAGTCTCCATGATGCCCCTCCGGGGAGCCCCTGGGGCTCCCTCATCTAATGGATTTCTTAGCTCGAGGCTTCCAAGAGCTTCCCTGGTGTGTGAGGGACTTGGAGGAACAGGCAAAGGTCAGAGGACAGAGGGGCCTGGTCTGCCCAGTCCTGGAGGCAGGGACAGAAGCGGGGGCCCCCCTGGGGAGGAACAGCCCAATTCCCACGGAATCCAGGGGATCCTGGGGCCTCTGTGTGTGTGTCCCAAGGAAGCCGCTGCCCTTGAGAATGGACTTCCAGGCTGGCCAGGGTGGAAAAACTGACCCCTTCTAATTCTGGATGAGCCAGGCCTTGGGCAGTCACAGAAGGGGGGGGGTCTGTTGGCACTGGTGGGAATCCAGGCAGGCTTCTCAGGAGAGGCATTGTTTGAATTGGAACCTGAAAGGAGGATGGGATTTTAAAAAATTGTTAATTATATATACTCATGATTAATGGTCAATGTCAGAGGTTTAGAAACTACAGAAAAGCTCAAAGAAGAAAATAAGTGGCCCGGCCCGGTGGTGCAAGTGGTTAAGTGCGTGCACTCCACTGCAGTGGCCTGGGGTTCGCCGGTTTGGATCCTGGGCATGCACCGACGCACTGCTTGTCAAGCCATGCTGTGGTGGCATCCCATATAAAGTGGAGGAAGATGGGCACAGATGTTAGCCCAGGGCCAGTCTTCCTCAGC